GCTAAATACCACAATTAATCGTGATTAATTTTTTTGCCAATATTGCCCAACCCTAATTTACGGAGCTCATTTACACACTTTTCCTGAAGATAGAAGAGTTTGTTGAATCTGACGTGACATGTTCGTACGAACCCTTTGTACGAACAAAAGTAAGAGAAATTTAGGAGAAGAATACGAACATGTTCTTGCATGAGGCCCAATGTTATGTTCAAGGAGAAATATGTGTATTCTGAAAAATCCCATGTCCACACTGTTCAAGTTTTGAAAAGGTAATTACCTCTGCCAAGGGAGGAGGTAATGTTTTCGGTTGTGTATATCTGTCTGTCTGTGGACAAAATTACTCAAAACTTATGGACGGATGAAATTTTCACCACATGTGGGTATTGGCYGAAGGAACACACCATTAAAGTTTGGTGATGTTCTGAATCACGATGTGGTTACAGGAATTTTTATTTTAAAGACACCGACAGTGGGGGAGGGTCCTGCTGCAGCCGAGCTGAAGCTGGTACACTGGACCGGTACCGAACAGCTGATCAACCATGTGAGGTATCCTCTCCACATAAGAACTTTATTGTGTGATTGATCAGAAGTTCATGGGAGTGTTTGTTTGTGCTGAAAGCGCTCAGATGCTGTATTTTGCTTCAACCACTCACTTCACAAAAAATAAAAATAAAAAGCCAAGTCGCTTCATGAGCCGACTGTAGCAGGAAGCACTTTATAAAGAGAGTCAAAACAATAAAAACTCATATAAAGGGATAAAACAGACRTTTTACACGGTGGAATCTGACTGGTGAAAACTTAGGAGCTTAATCCCACACCAGTTTGACCATGAACAACGTCGGGCGACGAGTCAAACTTTTTTTTCACATTGGACTTCACCGGGAAGAAACCCCATTCATACCACTGCTTAAATGTTCACTACGTCAGAACTTATTCAGTAAATGTGTTTCATCTCTGCTTTTGAGCATTAACTCTATTACAGTGAATAAATTTATTAGTCATTTATAAACTGATTTTAAAAGCACCACACCATTTCATAGTTCTCCTTTTTAAGTACCAGTAATGATTCTTATAATCTAGTGTTTGACTTTTGTTATGTCTTTATTAAAACAGCTTTAGTTACATGCCTAAAACACCATGACAACACATAGATAAAACCGTTAATAAAACATAAGGAAAGGATTTCTGTACGAGTGTCTGCGATTCAGCCGTAGGCCTGTAGTGGGCGTACCAGGCACTGAAGAACATGGTAAATAGACCTGTACTTCCGGGTTTCCGCAGCGATGATTTCTTGCCTGAACTGACAGCATTAAATCACCGTTCAGACTCCAGTAACTGGTGTTGTATGGTCGTTCTCTTCACATTTTAATCTATTCAACACTCATGTGGTTTTGTTACGATTTCAGTTGACGAACACTAAATTTTCTTACAGCAGGATGGGGGACAGTGGCCTTGGCGGAGGTTTGCACTCTCTGAGTGCTTCTAGTTTGATGACACGATCAAATTTGAGAAGGAAATTGCGTTTAGCGTAACGTGAGAATCGCCTAAATTTGCCTTTCTTTTTACATGGTTGACTTCATGTAGGTTTTAGAATATGGTGCAAAGATAGTTTTTTTTTTTCAGTACTGGACTGATGTACCTCTGCACCAAATTTCACATGTCTATGTTTAAATCATAAGCAGGGTTGATATTTAGAGAGCACTAGACCAGGGGCTCTTAACCTTTTTGACCTCGGGGCCCAATTAGTTGAACATAAAGTGACACGAGGCCCAGTCACACATTACCAATGTATGGATCAAAATGATAATTATTATAAATCTTGGTTTAATTTTTATTGTATTTATATCATAACTAAACTATCATAACTAACATAACTAAATTAAATACACTTACC